GTACTGTATGAATAGTTAAATGAAAAATATCCCAACTGTATTAGTATTTCAAACATTCAATATTAAGCTTTTCGTATTGATACACTTACCTTAGATAGAATACCGATTAATATGCATTTAGTTTATTATAAATATACAGTATTTTCGTTAAAAGCTAATAATAATAATTTTATGCGATCTAAACTGTTTTAGTTTTTATTTATGTTTAGTCTATATTTATGCAAATAATAGTTGTTATTCTCGTCTAATGAATAATCAATAAAGATATTTTAAGATCTAAATATTTAATAGTGTTATTCAAATACAAACAATCTCTTGTTTGTATTGCATCCGTATGTAATGCGTCCATCTTAAAAATTCTTTATGTAATATTTTATTATCATTTTATAACTTGGCTTTGTCTTCTATGCATGTACCTATAACATACCGAATCGCCTACGAATACGCTACATATATAAGTAACATAATGTTGACGTGCATTATAAAAATGATTTGTCAATAAAACTATGGCCTAATATATATGTTAATTTACCATATTAAAATGTTAAGATTTATTCATTAAACTAAAAAAAATTACCGTATGAAATGTAATCGATGCCGATTATATTTACTAATACTATTTGTAGAAATCTGCATATATCTACCAATGCATACAAATGATCGACAAGCAGTAACTGGATATATTGATTTAATAAAGAAATACGACCAAATATTTTATGCACAGATTAGGTGTGGTTTAAAAATATTAAAATGAAATGTAAATTACGACATACCTAGACGTTTGGATCTTACTAAATAGGTATAGGTAGATGCAAATAAAGTTGAATGTAATAAAAGCGTAAAAATAAAGAATTAAATGAATGAAAAAAAGTATATATGGGTTCGTAAAGAAAATAGTAAAAATATTTAATTCCATAGTTTATATAATACGGTTAATAATTTACATCAAACATAAAAAAAAACAAAATTTTGTTTTTATCAACACTGAAAAAATCTGTTGTTTTAAAGTTAATCCGTTTTATTAATATTCAGTAATTTGTAATCTAAAATTTAGCTGCAATAGCTAATTTAGAGGAAGCAAAGTTAAAAGAAACAAATGAATTTATTTCTGTACCATAGCATAAAATATTTAAACGATGTCTATTTACACACACCATCATAGTAGCTAATCTTTTAGTTCTTAGTTATTTAAATTATAGTAACTGGTAACCAATATTTTTTTTTTCGATTAAATTTTTATACCTACACTGACATCTCTATAGTAAAATAATGTTAGCGAACGACACGTACGAATGAAGATCCGACCCTGATCTTCACTCATCTTTTGCGGAACAAATACAATGCACCCGATTACTCCCACGTTTTTATCGTAGAACGTGCCTTGCGTCATATTTCATAACGATAATGTCGTTAACATCTGCGTTAATTAAGTTTATCGTCAATTCAATAATGCCTTTAATCGAAATAAAAAATCAGTTACCATCATATATTAATTTATCATTTTAATAAATAAAAAAAAAACAAATTTAAATCTAGTTCCATTTGTTTGAAATGACTGCATAATTTTCTTATCGCTTTTATTATGATTAGATTAAATATTTTGCATTTATTAATTGCCATTAAATATTTTTTATAAAAAAATTTACTAAAATATATAAAAAAATATATATATATAATTTTAAAAGGGGTCTAATGAAGTCGCTCATGTGATAAAAATTCTAGCCTCAGTAGATATGTCAAACAAGGCACCTACAGGTTTAAACAGCACCCTTTTCGAATTGTTTTTTAACCTTAACAACTACTAGTGTATTTAGTTCAGTACACTGTACATATGTATTTATCCGGAATAGGCTTAAACTGTGTTACAAATTTCATTAAAATCGTTTAATCATATTAAAATAATTGAATAACAAACTTTATTACGAACTTTCACATTTAAACTCATTAAGAGTTAGTGGAATAGTAGGATTAGCGTAAGTAGGTAAGTATTAGAATATGAGTTTCATGTAATGTTTTCTAAAGTTGTCATATCATCACGGAACTCCTTAGAAACAGAAACACGTCGGCAGCTCGAAAACAAATATTTATATTCTACTTCTAGCATAATAATCTAAATATTTGTAAACAAACTGACAGCCATTTACGCGTGAGTCTGCCTGAGAAAAAAGGTGGCATGGCGAGTCGCATGCGGACATTGCATTACCACAGAATAAAGTAATAGCACAATATTATTTTCAACATCGTCGATTCATTATTATGTTGCAGCAATTTTGTACAATTTTTCCGTTTAGAAAGGGTATTACTTTACAAATTTCCGCGCGTTTTGTAAAATACGGAAAGCAACTTTTAGGCGCATTTGATTGCAATAATACGACTATTACGTAGACAGATCAAAAATAAATAAGATTAATAAAGTTTTTGTCAGTTAAATATTTTCTTTTTTAATAATCTACCTACATGAAAAATATAATTGGAGAGGATCTCCAATTTCATCTCATAATCGCCACATAATTATTTATTTTGCCAAAGAGAGCACGTCTGTTCACATAACTAATAGCACGCTTATTTAAAAATCAAAAAGAAAAATAGTTGCTTTAAATCTAATGCGTTTTACGAGTACAATGAATATACTAACATACGGCATTGTTGGATAAATGTTGAATAAAACAATGACGCGGTTTTTGTTTCGTGAATAGCCATTTCAGAATGTACCGGGCCCGTGTTTACTAAATGAGATAGAACTTAGACATTGAGGCAAGCCCCCTAATAAGAATAAATTTTGAGGAATTACATTAATTACACATTTGATTTTCATTTACTATTCACCGCACAACTTAAAGAAAACTCTAAATTATATTTAGTTCTCTGTAGTGATGGCTACGCTCTGACTATACTTTAAGAGCGTTCATACCGAAGATTACCAAATATGTTGTTGTTGTATGAGTGGTCTACTGCTGAACATAGCCTTCCCCATAAGAGGAGTTTTGTCAGTGGTTGCTGCGGTTGACAGGCAGGCAGTTTGGTTTTTGGTGATGTTTCAAAAAGAATGCTGCTGCCCATCTTTCCACCATATGCTCCCTTAGTCGCCTCTTACGACAGACACGGGAAAGGAAGGGGAGACCTATTTTATGCCGGGACCTACACGGCCAAATACCAAATATTTTGAAAATATGCGTAAATTTTCTAAAACAATTCACAATTTTGATTTTAATAGCAAAAAATAACTATTTGAAAACCTTATGAAGTAAGATATGAAATAAATGCAAAATTTCTAGTGGTAAGTTTAAGTAAATGCAACTTATTCTTTGATTAATGTTATTTCGCTATTAGAATAGTTTTAACCCTTTGCACTTCAGCCTAGTAACTCATAGAGGATACCAATAACTCATTAACTTATTAATAACTTATAATGTAAACATAATAAACGTATCATAAACACTATAAGATAAACACAGACGATTTCGCCTACCTAAGTGTTACGAGCGCTGAGTCAGTAAAACAATCGTGCCGCTGTAGCCGCGACAGTGGATGTTAGCACTTTAATGTCGCAAATACGGGGGCAACGGAGTGCAAAGGGTTATTCAGAAATTATGAAAATTGTTGAATTGTTATTGAAAATTTACAGATAAAGTAAACTATCTAATACAAAATAAGAACTCCGCAAAGTGCGTTACACTTCCTTAACCGCTTTTGACGGATCGAAGATTTTATTCCTATTCCTAGAATAGTATCAATTGTAACAGCTAATGAAATGTTACTAAGATTATGCACATAAATACATAATAAAGTAATTACAACTATTCAACTCTTTTACAACGGCCAAACGATTAACAGCTGTACAGCGGCAGCAATGCAATTCACTTATAAGACAAAACTGTGGGAAAGACATTGTCGGGGACAAACAGTTAAACAATAACAACGGAGGTGATCGCCATTGTAATCTTTGTTTACTAAACCACATCCGTGCTCGTTACTCTTACCGTCATGCGATTGTTCATGTCTTAGTGTTGGATACCGAGACGTTAAATAGACTATTGCAATTATCGTAAAGGTCCAATCCATACATTGGAATCTTAAATCCAAGCTCGGTTCTAAGCTATCGTTATTATATGAATATCTGAATTTAATAGAATGCGTGTGAATATGGAACTAATAGTCATTTTGGTCTACATTACAATCGTAAAAACTATCTTCTATGATAATATTTTGCCTCGCCGTATTAAATAAGGTATTTTGTATGTAGTGCGGTAATTTCTTGCCATGTACTCTCGGCATAGAATGGGCTATCCCTTCCTTTCGGGTGTATTAAGAGATGACTAAAGGAACTAAATGGTCGTAGCATGAGTAGTAGCCTAACTATGATTGCCAGGGGGAAAAGGGATTGTTAGCAATGGAATTTGACAGCCCCATTGCCAGCAATATTAGGTCTATTAGTCAACCTCCACGTAGTTCCCCCTGGAAACCATCGTGACCAATTCTTGTTGAAGTCGGCTAAATGACCTGCTTCAGCCTCACCTATCATCTTTCACTGGTGCCCCGCCGGTGTATACCGATAGCGCGGGTGGGGTTACCATTTCATTATCACCCATTAAAAAAACTATGGTTGCCAATCCGCCTGCTAAGCGTGGCAACTATAGAGGGAGGCCTATGTTCAACAATAGACAGATAATGGCTATTATGATGACTGCAAAATCTTACTCTGAGGTACAATATAAAGATAAAAATTATGTAATTAAGAAAAAGAAAAATATTTTGAAATAATATTTAAAGACTAATTAAAATTTCTCCAACGGTTTCAATTAATTTTTCTAAGCTTTTGTGCAGTTTTTCTGTTTTCTTGTAAAATTCACTCCATGACCCTTTACATACTTTGTGTACTGTGTGTGTGTGTGTGTGTATGCGGATACCTATTTATTTATCGGAGATAAAGAAAATTGAAAACGTCATAATATATATACTTTATATTTTCTTGTATCTGACCATAATTGTTTTTGTTCTAGATGACCTGAAGTAAAATGTTCTCTCAGTGAAGATATGGATCCGCTTACGTGGTTGTCACTCGGGCTACAGCTGGCGGCGTTGTGCTCCATCGTCGGAGCTCTGCTGTTGTACCTGCTGAGGAAGGTGCGAGTGGCTGAGGTGCTACCGGTTGATAGTGCCAAGACAGTGTTGGTCACATCTGTGGACACCGCGCTTGGTTTACAGGTTTGTTATTTCACTACATCCATCATTAATTGTTATCATAATTATAGTATACTATTCACCTGTTCTCTATTCAACGTTTCATAATATTGGGACTTATATGTGCCTTTGAATTTTGTCTAGTTATTATTTATTTATACTTATAATAAATCTGTAGAGAGGTCAATTCTGTACATGAAATATATTTCCAAAATAACTATCAGGGGGTGATTAGTGATCGATACTGATGTCAGAAATGCAATCAGTAAAATTTTTGTCTGTCTGTCTGTATGTTCGTTATAGAAACAAAAACTACTTTACGGATTTTAACGAAACTTGGTACAATTATTCTTCATACTCCTGGGCAGGTTATAGTATACTTTTCATCACGCTATGATCAATAGGAGCATAGCAGTGAAGGGAAATCTAACAAATGTCCACCCGTGCGATGATGGGATGGGCCGCTAGTATATTATAAAATATATATTTGATAATTATTATCATTCGTCCATTAATTGCCCATTGCTTAACATAGGTCTCCTCCATAGCTTGTCATAAGGAATGATCCTTAGCTACCTGCAGTTATTGATTCTCGACTAATACATTTGAGATATAGTTATATGTAGTTATACCATGTAGGTCCCGGCATAGAATAGCACCCCTTTCTTTCCCGTGGATGTCGTAAGAGGCGACTAAGGAAGTTTATACATAGTAGAGGGTATATTGCAACAAATGGAATGTCAACTTCCTCACAGATATAAACTAAAAAAAAATGTAATATTCAATTATATGTATAAAAATAATAATAATACGTCCGCCGGTTTTAAACATGTAATCCAAAATTAAATACCTATAAATTCAAGGCTATGAGATACTTGGCAACCAGCCCGTACTCATAACATAACCATAAAGCTAACATAAGTTAAAAAGAACGTGAAAGTAGAATGATATATAACAATATTGCGGGACCACACAGCAGTAACAATATATTGCTCTGTAGTCCTGGCGTAGAATGGCCCCTTTCTTTCCCGTAAGTATCATAAGAGACCATTAAGAGAACTTAATGGTTGAGAGATGGGCAGCAGCGTCCTTCTTAAAACATCACCAATAGCCAAACTGCAAAGCATGGCAATTATTGGCAAAGCCCCATATGGGGAGGCTATGATCAGCAATGGACAGATAATGGCTGATACAACAATATTTGAGGTTGTCACTCTATCTAGTAGAAGTTATTCGCTACATTCTTATTAATAATGTAAGTCTGAAAGTTTATTAGAGATATAGCTGATCATGAAATTTGGTATACTTGTAGTGTTTTTAACATGAAGAAGGACATAGGCTGCTTATTATTCCGGTCACGCATGGTGAAATCGCGGGCACAGCCATTCAACTAATATTATATAAGTAGGCGGCTGTAGCAACTGTAACTAATTATGATAATTTCTGTTTTATTGATAAATTGTCAGTACAATTATAAAGAATTCCATTAGGTGCAAGTATATGAGTTATAATAATGGGCTAATGATTTGACTTCATTACACTAGTACCCCGCTCGCGTATAATGTAGACGGAGTCAGCATATTATTAAAAAAGCCTGCACTATCCAATAATTAATTCATGGGAATTAACCACAAATGACTAGTCACTAGGCCACGGACGGCATATTTAAAAAGAGGGGAGGGCGTGCTCGCTCACAAACCGTCTGGTATTCACTCACAAGAGCAGAGTCGGTTGGTGTCAATGCTATACACTATTTTTTGTTAAAGGTGTTAGAGAAATACCAGTGTAAGTGTGTATTGTGATGAATTTATCAGGAATTAGCTACAATAAACACAATTCCAATTCAACAGATAGCAACATATTTAAGCGACCGCGGATGGCGAGTGATCGCTGGGTGCCGACAAGGCGGGCTTGGCGCCCGGCTAGCTGAGTCGTGGCTGCAGGCGCACGCGGCAGCCACCCCTGAAGACCAGCCACCGCCGAGGTTGGCCACACTCGAATTGGACGTGGCCCGGGAAGATTTACTGGAAGAAGCCGCCAGAGCTACAGCTCAGCACTTACCTGCTGGTGAACATGGTAAGTTTTTTTTTACATAATGCAATAATTTTTTTTACAGAAAAAAATATATTTTTGTTCTATAGATTTTTCAAAACAGATATTTTTTCTCGTTAACGAATTTCTCTCTTAAAGGAATGTTAATAGTTTTGATTTTCTGTATATAATTATTTAAAAATTCAATTTTTAAAGAATCTAACCACAAAAAGGATGCACTGCCCGGGAATCGAACCCGGGTCGCAAGAATGGGAATCTTGCATGATACCACTACACCAGCAGTGCTCGGATAAATAATGTTAAAATTACAGACTATACTATACCCTCGATATAAATAATAATTATTTAATATTTTTAAATTTAATACTACAATGCTTTCAAATAGAAATACCTAGTAAAACAATAAATTGTGAAAGAATTCTATATTCATTTCTATGATTTCAACAGCTAGTTATATATCAAGCGCCATCTATCGATACCCGAGTATCCAACTATTGCAATGTTAGCACAAGGCTAATGTCGAAACTCAGCATCAATCAACACACTGATTAGCTAGGGGGCGCTAAAAGTTTTACTCGTGACGAAAATAGGTACTTAGTTTTATCTTATGACTATAGTATAAATCAGGGATTCCCAAACTTATTTTGTCTACTGCCCACTTTGAGAATAAATTATTTTTTAGCGCCCCCATTTTTTCACCTACTTAAAAACCACTATTATTTCAAATTAAATTAATTAAATATTGTGAGCTATATTAGCAGAAATGCAATAAATAAATTGAAATAAATAAAAGATTAAACATTAATTCTACTCTACATAACGCCCCATTTTTTTCTTGATCTCTTACCCTTAGGCCTACAGCGCCCACAAGGTATCGTTCACTTTGGGAAAGGCTGGTATAAGTAATAGAAATAAGGTAATAGAACTAAGCAGATTAATAATGTTACACTGTGATAGAACTATTAGTCTATCCTATAAAGAACCTGCCATGAAGTTGTATTTATTACTGACGAATGTAGCCTTCTGCTTAATTTTTTAACTGTCTGTCTGTTAGTTTCGGTATTATACAAAAACTACTGCATCAAGTTTGATGCAGTTTTCACAAATGAGTTTCTGAAGGTCTAACTTAAAAAAATCTTGTGTATGTTTTACTAACGCCTTCTAGTAATTGTCTATTTACTGCTTTTGATATCCACACATACGAAGTAGCGGGCAAGGAACTAGTACAAAATACAATAAACGGTTGTAACAATAGCTTAGGTAGGTATTTAGTAAATAGGTAGATAAATTTAACAATTTTTAACATTTTTGTGAATTGAAGGTACCTATGATATATTATAATAAATAATACTTATAGAGTGCCGTAATTTTAAATACATGCCAAATTGGCAAGAAGTTTTTGCTAACTGAACTAGAAGTTCCTAATACCTGCATTTACAAATTAATACACAACTCACAGTAGTACTAGCTTAGGCCCATATATTCTTGTAAATCCGCTTTTAAACAGATAAACTAAATGTAAATGAAAATAATAATAAAAAAAATCCGCTGATAATGTATAAAAATCAATATTTTTATTTTAGAAGTATAATATTATATTATTTTTGTTTTAGGTATATGGGCAGTAATCAACACAGCAGGAAGCAGCGGGCGCGGAGGTGCAGCGTGCTGGGAAAGCGCGCTGCGTGGTAACGTGCTCGGCGCACTTCGGGTGGCTCGCACCTTCTCACCGCTCCTCGCAGCCGCTGCTGCTGACCATCCTCATGCTGGACGACTTTTCTACATCGGTAATTATCTTTTTTATTTCCGGTAATTGTCTGCCCTTGTGGTTCTGGCATAGAATGGGTCACCCTTTCTTTTCCAGTTGGTGTCGTAAAAGAAGACTAAGGGAACTTAATGATCGAGATATAAGTAGCAGCGTTCTTCTTAAAACATGACCAAAACCTAACTGCGGTTGCCAACCCGCCTACCAAGCATGAAAACTACTGGAAAAACACCCCAATAGGGGGAGAACTATGTTCACCAGTGGACAGTTAATGGCTGATATAATAATAATATAAATTTGTTTTATTTGCAGCAATCGTTTAGATTGTACCTTAAATTATAAGCTGGTTTCTTTTCGTCAAGTTAATTTTTTTTTTGTATTAATAACCCCGGATGGAATGGTAATCCGCCGGCGATGTTGATTTACGTTAGCGGAGTATGAGAACTTATATTCACACTTAGTTTGACCGGGCATTACCACATTTTGTGAAATACAGAGACATAAAGTCATAGTTCTCAGAAATGACACAGAGTATTCTGCGATATATTTTATGACTAAGATCAGATCTAAAAGGCCTGTAGGTGACTGAAGGGGATAGATAGTAACGAAGACGTTTAATGACCTCATACCATCCGCCCTAGTTAATGTCTGATAAATTCGTCATAATGGGCCAACTGATCTGCTTTCATCCTCACCTATCATCTCTCACTGGTATTCCGTCAGCGATAACGTAAGCGGAGTTACAACTCCATTATCATAGAATAAAAAAGCTAAAAGGCGGCTTACATTAATTAACTCTGTCTTAACCGGGAAGGAAGGGATTGTTAGTCATGGCCCCATTGTTAGCAAGCCCTGTCAGGTCGACCTCCAAGCGGTTCCCCTGGAAACCATTGTGATTAATACTTGTTGCATTCATCACGATGGGCTAACTGACCTGCTTTCATGCTCATCTTTCATCCCTCACTGGTGCCCTGCCAAAGTATACCGATAGCGTAGACGGGGTTACTATTCCATTATCATCCATTAAAAAAAAACTCTCGTCTTAACCCAGGATTAACATCAGACACGGGTTGCGAGAGCCTGTCGCGTTTAGAGTCAGGCGATACGAGCGAGCTGAGCGCTGGTGCGGCGGCGGCGCGCTGGGGCACGTGGGGCGCCGCCCGTGCGCTCCGTGCAGGGCTGCGCTCGCGCCGCCTGCACGTCGTGCTGCTGCACGCGCCCGACCTCTCCACCGCCGAGATATACGCGCCGCCCGTGCAATTAGCGCCACCGAGCTTACCTGCCAGGTAGCTTTCCCATTTTTCATGATTACTTATGTAAGTCCTGGATAATACTTGTGATTACAAGTGGAGGTACGGAAGAAAAAACCAGATAAGTGTGTGTCTACTCGCAAACTGAGGGTTTCATATAATTCTAGGGTGGACACTGCCCACGTGGCCCTTCTTAAAATACACCTATCACTGATCATTCATAATGAATCTGATCCATCCTCGTCACATCACACATCCAATTAAATTACATACATTTAACATTCGCGTCAGAGTTTCATAGAATCAACCTTCGTCTGTTTGATTATATTTGCATTTTATAAATATTTAATCTTTTAATATCTTTTATTGCAGTCGACCAGAGACCCCAAATTCAGATGTGAGTGGAAGCACAGCTAGCTGCGCTGTAACCATGCCTGGAGAAGCCGCTGAATATAGCGCAAAGGTTTTGCCAACAAGTGCACTGAAAATTCTTGAAGATGCGCTAACGACGCCGGCTCCTAGAGACTCCTACTATCTTAAGATGAAACACGACTCTTGGTTTACAAGATTACCCTCGCTAAGAGTGGCGTGAAACTATTCTGTCATATCATCGCCTTGTATTATAGCACATAATCACTGGATAAGGAAAATGGGCGTGGAAGATTGTAAACGTTTGGCTTGATTGTATAGGTAACCCTATCAATTGCTTTGGTATTTTTTATAATTTAAGAATGTAGTTAAAATGTAATGTGCCTAAATACGTGCTATTATTGTCTTCAAATCTGGGCCTGTAGGTAGATTGGTAACATTTATTTATCAATACTGAAAAAATGCGAAACATATGTGACTGTTTGAAAGCTTTAAATATATAAAGTAATATTACTATAGCTTTATGTCAATATAGTTTATGTGTCATCGCTAATACAGGTTATGGGCCCAGTTTCATTCGTGTATCATACTAATCATATTTATATTTTATTAAACAGTAATAAGTATGCAAATTATATCACTGTGCTAAATATAAATTCCAAAGGGTAAGGGTTTTTTTTAATATCATAAATGTGTCGATTAAAGATTAACCAAGCCATTATTTGGAAGACATATGTTAACAAAATCTAACTTTATGTGCTTATTATAGTTACTTACATAAGTAAATACTATATGTACCAAGAATTATTGTTTGTTTATAAATTTAAAAATCGCTTATCATCAAAAATTCATCAAAAAGCCACGGTGATGGTTAAACATGTATCTAATTGCATGCACTTATTTTTGCTAATTTATATATTGTACTTATTGCTTATTTTAAACAATATAATAGATTAGTGTGTAATTAATTAAAAATATAATAATCTGGTCATAAAACATGAATAATTGTATGTATTTGAGCCTTTCTATTATCTTGTATTTTTACATTAATTTCCGACAATATGAAACAATGAACGATATACTCGTATAATTAATATACATAGTCGAGTTTTTCATAGAAATAGAATTATAGGGTTCTACTTATTGTAATATATCGACCTACTCATCCCCCATCAAAGGCACGGGATAGTGGATGTATTATATTCGTGATTGTGCCAAATAAAGTTATCCCAATAAAAAAAAACTAATCCAGATAGTCTATGGTAAGATTATTTATGGTACCTAGATACCTTTCAATTTTTAGGAAGGTGATGGATTTTTATTATACTAAACTAACACAGCTATCTATGTCTAGTGCCAATTCTAAGGATGTTTTATTGTACTGTTTTCAATTGTTATTGACTATTTTTAATGCGTATAGCTTTTAAATCCAAATTTTGACATCAGTAACGTAGTTACTACTGTTTCATCGTAATCCCCATATAGACACAGTTCAAAATGAAATATAGTTTGAACTTTTCATTAATATGTAAATAATTTTTATGTTGAATATTAAAAGTTCTCTAATAATCATGTAGTTTTATTTTTTAATTATAAATAATATAATAATATTTTTAATTAAAATTATAGTGTTATCTGAATCATAGGTTGATATTATACTAAAGAGATGAGACCGTGGACTTCTGCCTTATCACTGTAATTTTAGTATTTACAAACTAAAACATTTACACACCCATTTAACTGCTGAACAATTATAATTCATTTTAAGATCTGCTACTGGCAATCACCAATATTTAACAAATAAAATTAAATCATTCATTCGATATACGATGACGGAAAACCAGTGAGTGATAACAGGTAAAGACAGAATCAGGTAAGTTGACTTATCATGATTAATTTCACAAAGAATTAATCTGCGATATTTTTTCAGGGAGAAACTCTTCCAGACAACCATTGGGTAGAAGGAATTATAGAATAAATAAGTGCGTGGGGCGTTAAAAAAATAAATGTAAACATGTGTAAATAAGCACAATCATATTCATATACATTTTTTTACAACACAGGGGGCAAACGAGCATGCGGCTCACCTGGTGGTAAGTGACTACTGCCGCCCATGATCACCCACAACACTAGCGGCATTGCAGTGTGCAGCCGGCCTTTTAAAAAGGATTATGCTCTTTTCTTGAAGGTTATGTTGCCGTATCGGTTTGGAAATACTGTTGGTGGAAGCTACTGTATATTTATATGTATAAATGTACAACATTAACATACATATATAACACACATAATTCTGATAGGAAATAAGGAGGAATAAGTGGTTATAAAGATAGGTAGGATTTAACCAAGTTTTAAAAAAAAGCCAAAGCGCACCGTATAGAGGTATGGAGCAAATTCCACAAACGACTGGTTGCACGGAAAAGAATTTGGAGTAAAAAGAAGAAGAATTTTGAGTTGCAGGTGATCAGTACTACGTAAAGAATAAGAATTGCTCTCACCAAGAAATACAAAACGTTCTTTTAAATAACGGGGTGTAGCTGGATTAAAAATAATTGAATATAAAGAAGGGAAAGGATGTGCTAGTTGCGACGAAGACGAATAGAGAGCCATTTGAGCCTTATACGACATTGGGATACATTATTTGCCCTAATATGAACCGTATGCATAAATTTTGAAGGCGCTCAAAATTAATTTAACTACTCTTCAGTGACATTTGAATAACAGGAGTCAACGTTATCAAGGATTGGAAAGAGCAATGTATGAGCAAGCGCAATTTTGGTATCCGTAGTAAATTAAAATTGCACTTGTTGTAAAATATTATTATTAGTAATGGAGCAGCTAGTTCTCATTACTAATATTCCCCACCCCTCCCGGATACATAATGATATACAATGTATTAAAATAAATAATTAATATGTTTAGCATTTCGTTTATTTAACTAAAATTTTATATATAAACACCACCACTTAAATGAGACCATTTTTTAGAAATTTATAAATATATTAAAAAACAGGAAAATTCTAACTTATCTACTACTTATTTAAAAGGCAATAAAGTTTTTAAAGACAGTTTATTTGATTGATTAAAGTAAAAAAAAAATACATATTTTTCTCTTTGGAAATACAGGGTGTAAGAGACAAGTTGGCAAAAACTGACACAATGAATTCGGACCATTATTTTGAACTGAAATGTAGTGGAAATTCATTCCGGAAAAATTCAATTTTTTTTTTATTTCAAATAATGTGATCTGTAATATTATGTCATAATATAAAGAAATAATAATATTTTATAGTGAAATACTATGAAATATAAACAGCAATGTAATATTCATATTAAAATCCTACCGCATCACGCGGAATCAGCTGTATGAGGTCTATGCCACAAGCGTACGAAAACTACTTATGAAGAAGAACTACTAACCGCGCGGTCAAATTTTAATTATATTGCGCAGCATCAAATCTAGAATCGTTAATTATGACTGTAGTGCATTTTCGGTGGGAAAATAATCTGCCATCTGATTCAGACGATTCATCTGAATCAGCTGTTTTCATTTTGGGCAACCTGTCTCTTCCACCCTGTATAATAATTCGACACCTTAATTTACTTTTAAGAAAAATATTTATAGGTAGCATTTATAAAACAAATGCAAACTTTATCCTATGTTTATTTATAATGTATAAATGATATCCTAATAAGAAGCCAATTTACACAAAAAATAAAGAATTTCTTTGTAAACATCATGAGATATCAAAATAACATTCGAATTAATAAACAAACAAATTTTCAAATGCCTTGTTTATTTATTATGGCATTTATAAATACGTCGACGAAATATCTAGAGCACAATGATCTTACTTTTATTAATAATTATCACATCCTATGATCACAGATCAATAATATAAATGGCCGTTACAATTATACAGACTTTGTACTGAAACTAAAATTATGTTTTGTGACACTTATGAACATACTTAAACCTACTTATGAGAAATTACAAACTGTTTACTTAGCGATAAATATATTAAAAAATCTTAATAAATACTTTTTTTTTTAATCTCACGATTTTATTTCTTACCATCACAATATGTTTTCCATAAATAAAAGACATTACAAACAGATCAAATTTTTTATATACAAAACAATCCCATTCTGTGCCCTCTGGTCACGGCATAGAATCACCCCTTCCTTTGGTGGATGTCGTAAGAAGCGACTAAGGTAACTTAATGGTCTAGGGATGGGCAGCAGCGTCCCTTTAAAACATCACCAAAAGCCTAACTGCGGTTGCCAACTCGCTGAAACCTGAAAACGTGGCAGCTATTGGCAAAATCCCCATTATGGGGAAGGCCTATAACAATGGATAGTGAACAGTTAACTGCTGATAGGATAATATGACGATGATTACAATACAATCGAAATAAGATCACAAGTACATTTCCGCCATATTGTTACATCTTAGTTGTCAAAATAAGTTAATATAAAACATGTTCATTGAGGAGAAAAATAATGTTATGTAGGCAATTTTAGTACTTGATGGTAAAATTATTTTACTTTGCTTAGACCGAGATGTAAATGGATTTAGAACTATAAACAACATAATTATTTTGTATCCCAAATACAGAAAATCTTACCTTAATATTCTTAAAAATTAAAACCTTCTTCGAACCTACTTTAACTATTACACTTTTTTGTTACTTTCATTCAAACTCAGATATTCACACAAATTGGTCCCATAGCAGTTTTATCTAAATCAATTCAGGAGTTTAGATTTTTAGATTAAAGTAAGTGGTTTTATCACAATTGATTTCGATTTTTTTTTTGTTAATAAGCGGTAAGTAGCCCTCGATAAACTACTTAACCGATTTTAAAATACTTTCACCTATAGCCACATTATCAGCGAGTAACATAGGCTGTATTTTATTTTAAAATAATCTGTATAAAGCCTGGACAGGTCGCTAGTGTTTTATAATTATAGAAGTTAATTATTTCACCGCCAGGCTTTAATATCTGATTTCAATAAGTTATTCTTATCCTACCATAGTCTTTAGTTACAAGTCTGAACAGATTCGATGAGGTGAGCGAAATTACCCCACAGTATAGGGCCTGAAGTACATACTGTGCCGCCACCGCGGGACTCTTGTGATAACTGGAACAAAATAAATGAATCAAAATATGCAGTTATTAAAATTTTAAAATAAACATCTTAGTCTTAAGGAATGACAACGCATAGGGGTGCCATCACATCACAGTTTATTCTATGATTTTGTAGTGTTTACGTTTATAGGCGATAGTCACTCCTTTCACTGTCATTTGAAATTACACAGGAAAACATATAATATATCCTATTCTATCCTGTCTTACATTCGCATATGGGGTCAGCTAAGCCGTTGCACGTTGACCCATCGGGATCTTTTGTGCAACCCCCTGCCTTATCCATATAATATATACTTACATTAAACAAAAAAATACTACACCACAATTATAAACAATAAAGCCAATTTTAACATTAATTATTAAAATTAATTTCTATTATTTGCCCCCTGATAAAGAAGAAATGTAAAAGTAATAAAAAAAATATTAAATGAGTACAGTATCAGTATTAATAAAAAAATCTAGTATGTATATAGTAAATCTTTTATTAATCAGTTTCTTTTTTACATTTTGCTTATTACAAAATTTATTTTTTATTCTTACTATTAATTTACGCTGGAATGAGAACAAATAGTGAAAATGAAATCAGATCAGCTATAGTCCATAACCAATTCATATGGAATCAACCACAATCATTTCCTAGAGGGGATGGTTTGGTGGACAACGCGACAGAGCTCCTGATAATTTCTGATAATATTTTGATACATACCGCTCTATTGATATCTCCTACGCAGACCCAGTAGTCTGCCACTTTAGTGTCTTGGCTGTTGTGCATCTTGTGTGCGACAGCGACCGCCCACTTCGAGTGGTCGTCGCTTGATGTGAATGACATTTTAGCTATGGGAAACTTGAGACGTTCTATGTTACGTACTCTGGAAAAGACATAGACCGTAGTTGGTTTGAACAATATATTAAATGGTATTACGAAAAATGTCTAAATTACTATATGTTAAAAAAATATATATACCCGCTGATAATTAATGCTCTTTTCCACTCAGGAATTGTTGCAATAGAACTCTTAGAGTTAAGCTTGTTTGTTGTACAACTTGGTCAAAATAATTTGTATTAATGTAATTTTTGTATGCAATAAAGTATAAATAAATAAAATAAAATAAATCAAGAATTCTGATAAGATGTGCAAACCCACGTTCCTCCCGCTAGGTCTCTAAATTAAAGTAAAAGATAAAACCAAGTGCCAATTGCTTTCCTCTTTACACACATTATTATCTATTCAAAACTTTAAAATTTTGACGTAAATGTCATTTTTATTGACGTGAATAAGATGTATTTCCTGTAGTACAATACGTAGTTAAAAATTAAGCAGAACAGAACTTGTACTGTGGACACTAAGCAACAACTACTAATTCATTATTGGATTTGATATATTATTAGTTATTTATTTCAATAGAAATAAATTTTATTACATACTTGCGTTTCCTATTAATTATTATACATACTTATGTAAGTAGCTGTATACGAACTCTTCTATATGTCTAAAATTTTTGTAAGTTTCTTGAGGAAACGTCTATTCTTTTTTATATTATTTTGGTACAATCATTACAAAAAAAAAAATTATATATATTTTTTTAATTATATAAAAACAGACAACGAGTACCGAAATATATACAATAGTAGACGTTTATGTAGGTAATTGACAAAATTGAACCATACTCGTATAAAGTAAGCAACTACGTTGGTATTCATTACGTGAGCTTTAGATATGTGGACTTCTTTCCCTCATAGTGAAATATACTGACCCTATAGTTCTAGTTATTAATTATATATATAAAATACTGCACTCACTGAAAGTTTCTGTTGCATTCAGAATTCAACGCGCCTGGGCCATTAGTCCAGGACTCAACCAATAAATCAGATTGCAAAACTTCAGCCACCAAACCACTGTACAAGTCGTCGTTGAACATTGCGCTCTTAGCGAACGAGAGGAACTTACGCCCTGCTAGCGTCTCGAAGCTCTCTACATGATACCTGTAAAGTATGATGAGCATATTTTAACATTATTTTTAAAGACTAATGTAACAAGTGCTTTTAAAAAAGTTTATTTAAGTATTTTTTAGATATAAAAAAATTATGTTTTATTTCAAAATTTTATATGTAATATAGAATCTTGTAACTATATATTATTTTATGTACAACTTACTTTTTTGAGAACAAAGTCGAAATGAAATGCAATAGACCTCAGATATAAGGTGAAAGAATGTCCATTTACTATTTGTTATGATTTCGAATTACTTTTAATTGGATCTCATAGAAAGTCTGCATTCTAGATTGATAATTCAACTTACCATGGAGATACATCGATTGTCTTATTATGTACCAAATCCACCAAGTTGGGTAGTTCGTTATCAAATTCCTGAGGTATATGATAGTATGCAATCAAGGGGTCGTTGTACTTTAATTGTGTAGCAATCTGGTTGAGTGTCGACGTTTGTACGGACACACAGAGCGCCGACTGGCCATACTTCATACCAGTTGTGGGGTAGTCATATGAACTTACATTCTTACCATTGACTGGAAATCATTATTATTAATTCATATGTAGATCAAATAATAGACAACTAATGGGGAAGAATGGTTCACAACTGACTACTACATGCACCTGTACGCTTGCCTAAGCATAGTGTTAAATGATTATTCAGTACATGGGACAAGAACTTCAATGTGTTACAGGTGGCCTTAGACCATTTTTATGATATCCTTTCATCATCATCATATTTTTTTATGGGTGAAAATGGTATGGTAACTCCGCCTGCACTAACGGGATACGCTGGCGGAGCACCAGTGAAGGGTGATAGATGAGAATTAAAACAGGCCAGTTAGCCCATCATGATGAATTAACCATGATAGTTTCCAGGGGGAACCGTGAGAAGGTTGGGTATATTGCTAGCAATGGGATTCTCAGTTTCCATTACTAACAATCCCTTTTCCCCCTTCATCATCATATTATTCTATCAGTCGTTAACTATCCACTGAAAACTATAGGTCTCCGCCATAATGGGGCTTTTGCCAGTAGTTGGCACGCCTGGCAGGTTACAGCGGGTTGGTAACCGCAGTTGGGCCTTTGGTGATGTTTTAAGAGGTACGCTGCTGCTAATCTCTCAACCGTAAGTTCCCTTAGTCGCCTCTTACGACACCCACGGGAAAGGAAGTGGTTGTCCGTTCTGTGCCGGCGCCGACACGGCGACTAATTATTTATGATAAATATAATATTCATTGCAGGGGAGATTGTTAGTAATTAGTCCCCATTGCTATCAATATACCCTATCAGGTCGACCTCCGCGCGGTTCCCCCTGGAAACTATCGTGACCAATTTATCATTGAATTCGTCACAATAGGCTAACTGACCTGCCTTTTATTCTCACCTATCACCGCTCACTGGTACCCCGCTAGTGTATACCGATAGCACAGGCGGGGTAACCATGCCATTTTCACGCATACAAAAAATATGAATTGCATTATATTATTAATATTATAAATACGAAAGTTAACAATGGATATTTGTTACTCTTTCATGCAAAATTTACTAAACGGATTTGAATGAAATTTGGTACATGAGTAGGTAATATCCTAACTTAGCACATAGGATACTTTATGTAGTGATTTACATGGGCAGAACAGTGAGATACATCTAGTGTAGAAGAAACTTTAATATTTTTATGTTGATAATTTATTTGCAAAGTTTATTGAGTATTATACAGAAGTACAGATTATTTCAAATTATTAATAGTTTTAAATATATCAAATAATACTTACTGTCAGGCAATGGAGGAAATCTGGGTACTGAGTGTACCAACCATAGAGATGTAAATTTACCCCCCAGTATGACACCTTTTGTGTGACCACTCTCTACTCTTGTCTTCATAAATCTGGAATGCATTTTACACATTTCTGCCAAATCATAGTCGTCATAGTATTTAACACCAAGTTTGAACTTTTTATATTTCTTAAATCCTGCTTGTTTTATTTGACCTGAAATAGAATCCTTTTCTAAATACCAATTATTAAATGTAAATAAACTGGAGTAGAAAAGACTCTGTATAAAAGTCGATTGCTTGGATACCTCTGTCCCATTCGTGTTTCTACAGTGAACCAGTTGTGTTTGCATGGCTGTGTTTACAGGGTACAGAGGAATAACATCTGAGTCCTCAGGAATGGCAATGCATGGGGAGTATCATGGGCGAAACAGTATACTCTGTTATGTCCATGGTACTGCTCATGTCTATAGTTGACGGTTACCACTTTCCATCAGGTGGGCTATCAGCTTGTTTGCCATTCTAAGTTGTATAAAAAAATCATCTAATAAACAAATTATAATTATGTAAGAAACAAAATAACAGCAGATTGAATTTAAATTACCAATGAAACATATATGCTGGAAAATTCAAATTGTTACTGTAACTTTTCATAAGGCATAAAATAATTAAAGTATTATCTTTATAATTTTATTATTCATACCTCTTTTGCTTTTCGAATAAACTTCTGCAACAGAATGTAACAGATCTGGTTGATTTTCATTTGCTGGTGGTTGATCATTATAAATAAGTGAAATTATATTTTTGTCCTGAAAAATAGAGAATAAGTTGAAATAAATATAATAATTTTCATATTATAAAAATTAATATTTATTTTGCCTGATTACTTCATTAGGGATTATAGTCATAAATATATTTATTATTCAATTTTCAAAAATGAACATGCAACACATAAATTCAAATAAACATTTATAGTACCTGGTACAATGGAGCCAATGTTCTTCCAAGCATAGAACGAGGGTCACTTATGGCTAGATCTGATAATATCCATCCAGCTCTTAATTTAGATGGAGTTAAATGCATATAAGCCACTCCTTTTCGGATAAGTGGATTGAGGTGATTTTTCTCCCTTGGCAACTTATATATGTAAAACCTGAAATTTTCAGTTGTGCATTTTAAAACTTAAAAAGATGTATGTAAAACAGCAGTCAATTCTCTCTGTCAACCCCTTAGGACCCTGACATGAAAATATATAAAGGATAAAAAATAAAATATAATTGTAAACAAAATATATCATTACCTATAATTATTTTCTTTGTTCTTACATATAATAAAATTATGTTATAACATAAATAGTATTATAAGCAATAAATACGTAACAAATGAGTCATGTACACCATGAATAATATAATAATTATAAACTTAGAGTAGGTACTTCAGTAAAAATTATAACAAAGAAATTAAGAAAATAATTACCAATCTACAGGTTCTCCCTTTTCATTCCTGCATTGTGGCGTTAAACTTCGACAATCCGTTAAAAGTATTAGTAACAAAAAAGATTTTATATAAAGAAACATCGCTATGCGTGTTTATTTGACGAAAACCGCGGTAGAATTAAGAAGGCACAGGAAGTTTTCGCTGCAAATTGTATTGTTTATGATGTCATGCAATTTGATCATAGCTTGGTCATGAAGTAACAAACAAACGGGTTATTTACATAACACTTGCACTATTATTTCCTTTGTAACAAGTTAGTTCATATCAGTAAGTGTTGGTTTTATACAAAGCGAAATGTATAAACAAATTTAAATATTCGTTTCCGTATCTTAAGTTACGATGAACTGATAGATTGACATTAGATACAACTTCAAATCAAAATTGAATGACAGCATATTGAATGCCCATGCGCACAATTTTGTTACGGCAACACTGTATAGTTTTGTTTAATGGGAAAAGAAATTGACTCACTTTTGTAACATGTTCTAATATAATTTTCTTTGATCATTCAAAGAATAGTAGTAAAATAATCTTTATTATTGTGCATATTCAGTAATATTTAACTTAGATGAGTTAATATATAAATAAATAGTATTGATAAATTAGAAAAAAAAAACCGTTTCAGAAAATATATTTATTTATTATTCAACAACAGAAAAACAGATCTCACTGAGAAGTCTTGTAAAAAAATACTATTTTAAAATATATCTAAGAATTGTGAGTTTATTTATTATTATAATAAATAACAAAAACATATTACAGGTACGTTTGGAAGACATGGCATTTTCTATTATTTAAACTGAACATTACTTATCAGTACATGAAAAAGTTATGCTTAGATTCATTTCTAATAGTTATAATAAAAAATAATGACAAATAAATTACTGAGGTTCATTAAATAAAGCTTATGAGAAAACATTTATCGTTTTACTGTTGCGTAGGCATAGATACGGCGGCTTTCGTGTGAGATACATCACTTTGTCTCCAGAAAGAGACTACAGTCTTCAATTCTGTGAAGAAGTCGACACCCTGTTTGCCACAGAAGTGGTTAGTGCCGAGGAAGCTTCCTCTGGTCCCGCTGAATGAGAACATAGATAGTGGAACGGGAATAGGTACATTGACCCCAACTTGGCCGACATCAATCTCTGAGACGAACTTTCTTGCTGTGGCACCATTTGTTGTAAATACCGCTGTTCCGTTACCATACGGGTTAGAGTTGATCAATTGAATGGCCTCATCTAATGTGTCTACAAATAAACATACAAGGACGGGCCCAAAGATTTCTTCCTTGTAACATTCCATGGTCGGTGTGACGTGGGTAATTATAGTCGGTCCAACGAAGTTGCCTTTCTCAAAACCGGATACTTTGATGCCTCGGCCATCGAGTGCTAATTGAGCGCCCTCTTTAACTCCTGTGATATAAAAAAATATTTATTATTTAAATAAATTTGTAAAATGCATGGTGGAATGTGAAACCACCGATAACATAACTTTATACTTGCACCAGTAGTGGAACATATAATTGTAATAGTAAATTTATAAAGTTGAATTCTTAAACTTATTATCTGTACCTGATTCAATGAGCCTGAGGATCCTCTCCTTAGCCCTGACAGAGATGACGGGGCCAACGTCGGTTCCGGGAACATGTCCAGCATTCACTTTCAAACCTTTTGCTCGCACTACCAACTCCGGGATCCATTCCCTGGCCTCACCTATACCGTGAATATTATTTTAAATAATTTATAATTTTAATGTACCTAGTATAAATTGATAGTTAGTAAAATCTGCACTAAAATATAAGGAACGACGTCAAAATATTGTGTATAAGACGAAGAACCTCTGACTACCTCATAGGGAGTATAACAAACATATTTCTTTTATGTTAAAAATTCTACCTAAAAATAAGTATGAACTGTAGGGTAGCGGAAATCCAACTGAATTCAATAGCAATAATCAAGAAGCAAAATCCTAATTAGAAACGCAGACAGTTCATAGGAGAGGTAACACGACTAGCCTATGAGTTATTGTATTTTTAGCAAAAACCGATAATATATACGATGGTAGAAAACAATTTCTTTTACGAATCGGTGATAGAATAAATAATAAAATTTTGTATCCTAGAATATTGTGGTTATACTCGTATTCTCCCTTTCAGATAAACGAATTTATCGATAGATACATTTAAAAAAGAAAATGCCTGAGATTATCTCATTCTGTCTTATGCATACGGATACTTTCGTTCCACACTTGTCTAGAGAGATTTGAAGGTGTTAGCTGTGTGTCGCCCACAAAATCATGCAGTGAACACGAAAAACATTGACGAAAAAAGCTATTATTAGAATAGTGGAAGGCTACTAACCGACGAAGACAGCAGTGCTGAGTGCCATACACCGTTGTCCCGCAGCGCCAAAGGCGGCTCCGGCCAGCTGGTTGAGGGTGTGTTCCTTATTAGCATCTGGCATGATCACGCCGTGGTTCTTGGCGCCCATGTTGCTTTGGACGCGTTTACCTGTACAATGAATTTTCAACCGACTTCAAAAAGGAGATTCTCAATTCGGTTGTATTTTATTTATGGTTATTACTCCATAACTCCACCAGTTATAAACCGATTTGGATTTTTTTTTTATCTGAAAGGATATACTTCTAAACTGGTCCCAAAAGTCCATTTTGTTCTATTATCCGTTGTGTTATAGTTGAGATAATCGTTGAACTATACGGACATAATAAAAAAAAAATACCTAAATCGGGTCAGTAGTTTAGTTTTTAAATCAAAATAACTGGTTTTATCACAATTGAAATCGATTTTTTTTTTTGTTTTGGGACACAATCGTTAATTAATATTATAAAATTAACAACATACATATCTTAGATATTATCGGTTATAGCGCCGGATTTTTATTAGCTGATGTCTCATAACACGGTATTTAAGTTAATTTTTAGATGATAATGTAATGATAACCTCGCCTGCGCTAATTGTGTACGCTGGCAAACTTCGTTTATTATAAATATTTGAAAAAACCAAAAAATAATAAATACCTGCGGCGGATGCTCTCTGGTAGATATGTTTGCCAGCTGCATCGCCGCCCACAAATGACACTGCTTTAATATCTGGATGATCGCATATGAAGTTCACCGGATCGTGGGTACCATGGACCGCCTGTGAATTGTAACGAAGAGTTTGTATTTCAGTCTAGTTATCTTATACTTTATAGGTTAGATTCGAAATCATTAGCATTCATTAAAAGAAATTTTCTACTAGCGAAACTGTACATTTTTTTACCAAAAATCATAATGAAAAATTATAAAAAAAAGTTGAGTCTTCCATATTAACACGGCGCGGCGAGTTCAGCTGTTAGTCGAGTTCGAATATTCTATATAAGTACTCAAACGTGTTTGTAATATGCGAATTTTCATTCCACAAAATTTATATCCTAATATGTTATACAACAAGATAGTTCTTAGATTTATATACCGTGAACCATTTCGATTTCAGCCTATGTATAAATTAAATGAGGGATGGACAGCAGTGTCCCTCTTAAAACATGACTAACAGCTAATTGAGGTTGCCAAATGCGCCTGTTAATCGTGGCAACTACTTACTGGATTTTAGCTTGTTTTCCTTTCTACTACAAAACTAATTAACTAATGTTAACGTGATGTTATATTATATCGGTATCACAATATAACAAACATATAGACAAACAGATAAAATTTCTAAAAAGTATTCTGCTTTGCTTCTACTGCTCTCATTAAAACCCCTTACATTAATTTTTATTAAATTACATTCAAGTACATACATAATCTAGTTACAGAGTCATTATTTTAATAATATAATATAATAATAATTCTTTAATAAAGGCAACCAGGGCCCACAAAATTTTAACAAAATTAATTTGCACCAACTATAAATAAGGGTATCATAACAGTAACTCATCTTTATATGAACATTCAACAACATTGTAAAATTAATACCAGAATCGAAGATTTTGAATTCCAGCTCTATTTATATAATTTATTGAATAAATATGTTATGTTTCTTGGCAAGTTCTAGGTACATGGCTGCCAAATCAATTGTATCTATACCTGAAACGTTGAGATGTATCTCTATATGTACATAAAGGTATATATTTGCATCCGCCCACTTTTCTACTCAGTCCCCCTAGACAAGGTATAAAGGACTCTCTTAATAGAATGGTTTCGATCAGCGCTCACATGAGACAGAGAGAGACAGCGCATGTCGCCATCTTATTCTATTACATGGACCCGCTAGCGATAATAATTCTATGAAGAGATTTGTTTGTACTTTGTATAGGGGGGCTTGATTTGGATCTCAGACTCTACTAAGAAACCTTTTACAAAAAATCACACGTATGTTAGAAGTTGTCACTCACAAAAAAAAATATATAATTAGCTATTAAAATAAACAGAAGTAATAAAATTATAAACTAACATTAACGATGCCAGGTGGCGCTCCAGCCTCTTGTAACAGTTCCAACAGCATCAGCGTGGCTCCAGGGTCCTGTTCCGAAGGTTTAATAATACACGTATTTCCAGTCACAATTGCAGGTGGGAACATCCATAGCGGGATCATTACTGGGAAATTGAACGCTGCCACACCTAAAATATAAATATTATGCTAATTGTGAAATCATTAAATGTAGGCAAGTCATCTAGTCAGCTATAGAGCATATTCCTCTTGCTGATTGACTTAAAGGACATGTGATTATTATTTTATTAGAATAAACTTACTGTATGATTTTTTTTTTAATTCAGCTTACAATAATGGGCATAAATTCAGCTGTTTCAAACTAAAATTGAATTTTAGAAGTTGAGAATTTGTGTGAGTTAACATTTTAAATTTTTATTTTTAAATAATATAGTTCTCTAAGCGCGATTGAGTAAAAAACATGCAACCTTCACATTCATAATAGTAAAAGGATAATAAAAATATTGTTTTCCGCACAAACGTATTGACTATCAATGTTGGCTGTAAAATATATGTTTACAATGTGTTGTAAGAAAGCTTTGAATCTTCACTCTAATAGATAAAAAGAAAGTATCATATAAAAACAGACAATTAGTACAAAGTAAATATTATTATATACTATATTATTATGTAATAGGTACTTACCACCAACCACACCCAAGGGTACTTTGTAACTATGAGTATCCATATCTCTTGCAATATTCTGAATGGAGTCACCCAATTGCAAGGTAGTAATACTGCAACAGTGTTCGACTAACTCTGCAAATAAAAATTATTAGTCATAAAATGTGTCCAGTCACTTAGATGGAAGAAACCTATGTTCCGTAGGAAACAGCTGATATGACGATGATAATAAATACAAATTAACCAATTTTAAACTTTCATTTCGTTTTAAATAGCAATTTTATTTTTGGAACTTAAAATTATAGTAATAGAATAAATAAATATAAATAGATAAAAAAAAAACAGTAATATAATATGTGGTCAATTTTGTTTATTTCGTATATTTGTCAGTCGGTTCTCTCTACCTACACTATAAAGAGGCTACCGAGAAAATATATAAATATATAGAACTTACGAATTCCTCGTAGGACGTCGCCTTCCGCATCGGCTATGGTCTTGCCCTGCTCCTCTGTAATTTTGGCTGCTAATTTTGATTGGTTCTCTCGCAGCAATCGTGCAAATCTGTTACAAGATTTTTTTTTCTAATCTACATCGATCCAACAAAATGTAGCAAACAGTGTGATATAGATTATATAGACTGTAAGAAAATTGCTTCTAAAACACTGACAATTAAAAGCATGCAATTGTATGGAGAAATATCTTTTTCTTTCCATAAAATATATTTTAATAAATTTATTAAAATATATTTATCCAGATTGAATGTCAGTAAAAAAAAATATTCATTTATTTACTCGTATGGTCTAATCTATACTAATATTATAAAGCTGAAGAGTTTGTTTGTTTGTTTGAACGCGCTAATCTCCGGAACTACTGGTCCGAATTGAATAATTATTTTTGTGTTGGATAGTCCATTTATCGAGGAAGGCTATAGGCTATAAAACATCACGCTGCGACTAATAGGAGCAAAGCAACAAAGAAAAATGTTGCAAAAACGGGGATAATTATTCATATTTGAGGGATTCCGTTGCGTGCTCTGCGAAAACGGTTCAAGTTACCCAAAAAATATGTATGAAAATATTATTCCTCTTTAAATGATCTAAAAAAATGTCCGCTACAGTTTGATGCAGACGAAGTCGCGGGCAATAGCTAGTTATCTATAATACCTAATTTCTCAAGATCTAATTTACCATAGTTCCTTAAAATATCTAGGTATAATATAAAAGTTTTATACCTTTTACTGCTTTGAATGCGATGACAATACTTCTTAGAATTATATCATTATAATGTTAATACTATGTAAATAACCATTTAAATGACTTGTTTATTGTATTATGGTAACAAAAGTATAAAATATTATATATGAAATGGTATTATTTTTATAGAAATCTCGAAATATTATTATGCAAAATACAAACTTGAACATTAGCTGCTGCCGGGTTAAAATTGTACTTTGGCTCCATGATTTGTATGCATTCTTTGCCGCATTCAGTGCATCGTTTAGTTCCTGTTGAGTTGTCTCTGGTACTCTGAAAATATTTATATAAATTTGTTTTATGTAAAAAAAAAACATTAATTCTCGTAATTTTTGTCTCTGTTTCTTAGTTTATTCAAATTATCAAAATTATATAAGTCTGTGTTACATGCTTCTGATAAACTGTTTATTTTGAGTTGTTTATCATAACTCAAAATATTGTTTTAGCAGTTAACGTTCCAGTGTCAAATATATGTAAACCACTTCCATAAACTACCATAAGGCATAGTCCTCATTCATCTACACTCATTGACTTCGTGTAATAGGTTTGACGTCAATCTCCTGATGGATCAATCTCGCTGTCTTCTCATGCTCTCCCTTAGGGGGGAGCCGGGGAAACCTGTCCGGGGTTTTTTACCCCTCTCAGGTAGTGTCAGTCCGCCGCCCATTAATATGAGCGGGTCCTTGGGATGAACCTAATGATGATCCTGATGGAGACCGTCCTACACTGTTTTTGTCTATACGGGATCGCTACCGTAGCCCTTTTTACATAATTAATATGTATACTTCTGTAGAGTGATATTACTATTAGTTACATAACTAAATAAGAGATAGTATATACCTACAACAGAACAATATTACAATCTTATAACTACAATTCAGTAATTAATGATATGGTTACATGACGCAAGTAAGAAACAAGATCACGGCATATTGAATAATACATTATCTATATGGAATAGAACTGTTTAGGTATACTAATACTAATGAAATATCTAACTGATATTTAATTACAAATAAATGTTTAAACAGAATGTGTTTATTAAATTTTATTGCATAATATAATATAGTATGACAATTAGTAAGATGTAAAATTATTTACAACAGCATTATATTACATAATATGGCAATTACTAATAAAGGAAGTAAACAAAATATTATGTATACTGAATTGATAATAAATTATAAGTTTGCTTATGTTAAAAAATAAAAATAAAAAATCCTTCCAAATATTATAAATGTGAAAGTGAGTTTGTTTGTTTGTTACCTTATAGCGCTTTAACGCCTTAATTACGTCAGTAAGTCACGGGTAAAAGTTAGTAAGTAAGTAAACCAAAAATATGTAATGGGTCTATTCCCTTCAACATGCCTACATTTCGTTGAGTCCATTATAATTCAAAATAGTAGGGATCAAGTGTACTGTTGTTACATGGATTAAATAGCCTTTATTTTTCTTATATTAAGATTTTTATGTACATACTAAAGTATATATTATTGGAATATAATATACAATAAATAGTAAAATTATATAGCTTTTTTTTTTCCCTTCTAAAGTATTTTGCTTCAAAGCCCCTATGGTTTGAAAACCGCTATGCTTATATAAAAAAAGTAATTTCAATAAAGACCTCCACAAGAGGTCAATCGTCCATATCAAATGTTGGTGGTCTAACATAATATTGTCATATTAACGGTAACAGAATTAAACAAAATAATACAAGTAATAATGAAGTAACTAATGATAAAGATAACTGCAAACAAATATTATCTTATTATCCTAAATGTAATTTTTTTATTTGTTACTTTTTACAAACGCAAGTAACTCAAAGTCACTTACCATCAGGTGAGACGCATACTCGTTTGCCCCCAATGTTATAAAAAAAAAAGGTTACGCTCTTGCTTTTGCTCAGTTAATAATCATGAAATTTTGTGTTTGGAATTGAGAAGGATATAGGTGGTCTATCATCTCAATTAGATAAATAAAATATATTGATTATTTTTTTAAATATTGCCTACCTGCCAATGACTTCATTGGTAGCGGGATTAGTAAGCTCAATCCAGTTGCTTGTTTTTGACTCTACAAACTGTCCATCTATGTAGAGCTTTGTTGTTGGTGCAGAACTACTATAGTTTCTACGTAGTAGTAGTTGAGACTGTGGAATTAAATTATTAAGGAAAATATTATCATATTCTATTATGTATAAGAAACACACAAAATATTAATTAGTATTTCTCTAAATTTTTGATAGTTAACAGTCACATCAAACATAAATTCATAACTTGTTAAAAAAGCAATAGCTGAGTTTGTTTCCTATTCTTTTCAGTTAAAATTTCAGACTCAACTAGGTATAAAATTATAAAAAAAAACCAACTTAAAATTACTTGAATAAATTGATTTCTATATACTTATGAAATGTTTCAGTTAGTGCAAGTTGTAAGTAAAAAAGTTAAACTTTTATCTAAAATCCATGGCCAAGTGTTATCTGTTTGAACTATTGAACTCACTAACAATCTGTAGATATTATTTAAATGGTTTTTACTTTTGCAACATTCAATAAAAACTTTTTTTTTTATATTAATTAAAATGGCAAACTGCAGACCCACCTATAGACAAATAGTAACTATCACCTGCAAATATTATATATATATATATATGATTATTATTATATTAGCTGTTAATTGTCCACTGTTGAACATAGGCTTTCCCCATAAAGGGAATTTAGCCAATAGTTACTATGCATGGTAGGCAGGTTGGCGACAGCAGTTAAGCTTTGGTGATGTTTTAAGAGGGACTGCTGCCCATCACTTAATGATTAAGTTCTCTTATTTGCCTCTTACAATAGCCACGGGAAAGGAAAGGGTAGCCCATTTTATGCCACATGGTCCTATGACATAAGTTTATAAGTATATATGTATATTTGTGATCCAACCATTTCCTATGTGTATAAAATGTTTCTTTTTTTGTAAATAGATATTTGCAAAATAATGTATTTAAATATGTCTATCAGTTATAAAGTAAATAATTAAATACTAAATATTCAAAAATTTTATAGTATGCTTGTGACATTTAAAGTGAATTTTGTCAATGTATTTAAAATAAGGTTTGAGGATTATTGATTTTAAAAATATAATAATTGTTGTAAAGAAATATTTTTATTAAAATAAAAAAGTACTTATCACAAAAACAATTGTATAGGAGAATTTTATGAAGTGAAAATACAAAGCATGTAATTTATACTGTTTTCTTGTAGCTTATTATTCTGACTATGTACATAGAAAACACCTTTGAAAAATTCTTGTTTCACAATCGAGGTTTGTATAATGTGCTGTATAAAGATTTAATTTTAAATTGTACATTTAAAATTAGTTTCACAAGAAGGCATTTTGATCAATGAAGGAAATCTTATATAATCTAAGACATTAATGTGTACTCGACAACAAAATATGCTTTTTATTTTTTAAATTCTATGTAATGTCTTTGCATATTATTGATTTAATTGAAGTTACAACAGTGTATAAATTAAAGAACATGAAGAAACAAAAACAAATATTCAACTGCGCAACTTATTGTAGTGTTCGACACAACTGTGAATAATGTAGCTATTCTAAATACCAAATCCTGTGAATGATTTATAAGGCCTCATTGCTTTTCTAAATCATGTTAAATTTTGTTTTAAAAAACAGAATAGTTTACAAGCATTGCAATTCCATCAACAAGACTTTTACTGAACAAATACACAGTAAACATTCATAATGACACAGCGTTTAATATAATTTACTTGTATTCAAAGGGAACAGTTAGTAAATTAATAAATTTATATATGAATTTAAATGCATACACAAACTACACTCTTTGGATTCTGTAGTAAATAAAGTGTACAAACATTATTTTATAAAAAAAAAAAAATATCAAATATATTTTTTTTAAATTACATGATATTTGTTTAATGGAAAGAACTGTTAAAAAGAACAACAGAAATAAAAAACTTACTTCAGATTTTAGTAGTTTTAACATTGTAGAAGCCATGGCAAATACTGTAAAAATATATAAGTATCACACAATCGTGAGTGCACTGAGGGCCAAGCCAACTGATTAAAATACAAATATTCTGACCTTGAATTGATAAAGTTATTTCATTTGTCGTCAATAGTCATGGATATGCGATTTGTAGATACATATATAATATAGATATTTGTTTTGTTTACAACAAAGTGTCAACGTCAAACAGGTCTGAAAAGACACATTTTATTAGACATTGACATTTGGCTTCATTCCATTTACTACATTTCTCATGTAGATACCTACGTATGTTTCATTTATAAATAAATCATAATGAAATATAAATAATATCATTATTACATTTGTGTCTGTTATTAAACTAATAATTGTATTTACAAGTGCTCTAGAATTAAATATATTATAAAAGGTGAACAAATATGTCTCTCTATTTTTATCAAAACTCAATTTTAGCGTAAAACGAATCGAACTAGCAGTGCACTCCGAAATCTTTAAGTAGCGCAAAGAAGTACAGTAAAAGTATGAAAACTGTCAATATTTCTTAAATGTTGCCATAATTCACTTTATTATTCTCATATTTTCAATAATAATAATATTAATTTGTTATTGTTTTTAAATCTTATTCAGTTTTAACTCGGGAGTTTAATAAATTTACAACTTCTGTCGTTTTCGATAACTTATTACTACATACTTGTTGCTTACCTCTTACAAATACTAATGAAAAAGGGCACTACTAAATTTCATTTCAAAATATTTATTCTTCTTCTATATTTATTTTGTCTTATAAATTCTGCACTTTTTTAATGTGTACAAACTCATTGTATTTATTAAATAATTAAATATAGATACGCCAAGATACATTAAGTGCTTAAGTTATTTTTTAATTAATAGAACATTAATTAAAAAAAACGACTCAGTTAAATTGACAAAAAGTTGGTCCGTTTCAAAACTTGATGCTATATATAATCTATATAATGTCTATATAATCTAAGGGCAGAAGACAAGATTTTATATTCACCGTATGGAAAAAAATATGAAAGCTGTCAGGAGCAGACTAAATTAAAAAATATTCTGAAATTACTGTGAATTTCATCAACCACAAGTACTGATAAATGAACAATATTATACTCTACGATTATTCAAAGATGCCATCGAAAACACTAAAGGAACTAATTTAAAATATGAAATTTTTAATAAACATTGAAGAAAAAGAAAACAGGGTATCCTTAAGTTTTACCTGTATTTTATTAGTTACTTCTTGACCAGCACTTGTAAGGTAGACTTTTGTTTATCTCGCTCTCCTCTTGATTAGTGGAAATTTTTAATTGTTTTACTTGTAACACTAAAAATGGCGCGTTTTATACATTTTAAATGGCGCTGTTGCAGAACAGAATATTGTATTTAACTCGTCGTTCCATTAGGAAACAATCGTGCTATGTAATAACATTTTTAGCAATCTTTCAATTACTGCTAGCGCAGTGTTTGCGCAGTATAATATACGAAACAAGAGAGTCTATTTTTATAATTATTTTTGTAGATAATCAGTAGAGTTCAAAGTAGTCTTTTTTTGCGAAATAAAATAAGTATATAGCGAAGTAAAATTATCATTAGGTGGACCGTCTATTCCTTTGCCTCTCTGACAATAAAAAAAAAAAAACATTATTTAATGTAATGTGTTAATAAAACATCTCGTCGTCTTGTATTTGTAACAAAATCCTTTTAAAAATAAATGTAAAGTATTGAGATCCTGTACGTCTGAATTAATAATAAAACTCATGTGATGTTAGTAATATGAACTGCTAGATCAACCACCATGCGGTCCCACTAGTAAATCATCGCGGCTAATTTCTTAGGAATTCGTCACGGTAAGTCAAGTAACCTGACTTCATCTTCCCCTATCAACACTCACTAATACCCACCCCATTATGGTTTACCGAAAACGCTGTTAGTGTTATTACTCGACTTTCTTTTCTTTTTTATATTTTTCATCCAACTTTAAAAATAAGGAAGTTCTCAATTAGATTGTATTTCTTTTTTATGTTTGTTATCTTATAACTCCAACAGTTGTAAATTCATTAGGAAATATCTTTTTTTTTATCTGAAAGGATATGCTTACAAATTGAACCCATAGAAATTTTATGAGATTTCAAAATCGATTTGGTAATTTAGTTTTTAAATTAAAATAATGGTTTTTTTCAGAAATGTAATCAGTTTTATTGTGGAACATAATTTAATTATTCATCTATTTCTTTTAATTCTATTTACTCGACAATATTATCCAATATTTATTTTATTTACCAAACATTTGTGTTTGTATAAGTATCAACACCTTTGTTCATTTTTAGCGCTATATTCTTTTTATTCCTTACTAACCATCGTTTCGCATCCGGTGGGGTTGTCAGAGCTACAGGGTTGGGTCACAAAGACACCGTTGATTGCTCGAACAACGGCCACTGTAATGATAAGCAACACTTGATCAAACAACCACATAGGTGTAGTCAACATGATAGTGAGCTCAGATGTTTCATATTTACAATAAGACGAAACGAATAAGCGGCAAACTGTTTTTTTTTTCGGCAAATTCCTATATGGATACTCTATTTCTTTAGTTGATAGTCAGACGCACTGCGTTAGTACGGGAATGTTATTTTTTGTTATTTTTCAACTTACGATTTAAACTCATAGATTTCTTTAATAAATCCATAGTTCTATATTTAAAGTTAATAGCTGAATAAAAACTGAATATGCTTTCTTCTATTAAATAGGTACTAATGATTCACAATCTCATATACACACTACTTAGGATACATTTGTAGTTGTTGCTGCGTTTAAATAGAAGATCGCCATAATTATGTGGCTGTACCAAATTTTTCCTTTGTCATGAAATATATAAAACCTGTTAAGATTATCCTCCTTTTTCAAAGGAAAAAAATATTTTGCTATAAATATAGTACGATGTGAAGGATTCACGTCTATTTCTATTTGGGATATTACAGGTAGGTTTTTGTTTAAAATATTTTTTACTATTAACTCTGCAAAAATTATATTGTAACAAACTTTTAATTTTGTAACTTTAAGTTAGGTGATATATTTATTCTTCCTTTTTATAATCTAATTACATAATGATGACATCGAAGTAAAATTTTGTGATAAAATCATCTGAATGAGTAGGAGATTTTTTTTTACCTTTGTCTTACCATTAGGATGTCTTTTTTGTTTAATAGCTGAAAATGAAATTATAACCCCTCTTGGGTTATCAAGATACGCTGACGGTGCACCAGTGAGGGATGGTAGGCGAGGAGGAAAACAGATCAATTAACCCATCGTGACGAATTCCACAAGAATTAACAACGATAATTCCTTTAAAATAACTTCTACTCTGAAAATCTTGTTGCTGGTATACTGTATTTTGGTGGATTTTAGTTTGAAGAGTAAATTTTGTATCCATGATATGTAATAAAAATATTGTAAAAATAATTTTAAAATTAATCTAAAAAATGTATCAATTAGGGGTGGCTAATATATAGCAATATCTATATATTATATTTTAACATACGAGGTCTGTCCGGAAAGTTCGTATAAAAGTGTTCTGGAATGCGAGAAAGAGGAGTGGGGAGGCCAGGTAAGCGCAGGATAGTTCTGGTCTGACCGCCGTAACTGGCTTGTCACGCCATCTGTGAAGTTACCTCTTAACGAAACCCCGTCGGCATGGAGCCCGCTTCCGTTGAAGAGCAGCGCGTCGTAATCAAGTTTCTCTCGAAACTCGGCAAGAATGAAATTTTTGCCGATCTCAGAACAGTTTATGGGGATGATGCTGTGAAGGAACCAACCGTCCACAAGTGGCTAAAAAGATTCAGAGAGGGCCGAGAAAGCGTTCAAGATGACCCACGTTCAGGACGTCCTTCCACTTCACATTCCGACGAAAACGTGGAAAGAATTCGAACCTCCAGGCCAGACAGTTGATGGAAAATTCTACGTCGATGTGCTCAGATAGTTCGTCCAGAATTGGCGCGAGAGGGGCGTTATTCTTCACCACGACAATGCCCCTGCCCACACCTCTCTTGTTGTCCGTGATGAGTAAAAATTCCATTACGGTGACCGAACACCCCCCCCTATTCGCCGGATTTGGCCCCGTGTGATTCTTCTTGTTCCCAAAAACCAAATTGGTACTTCGGGGGCGGCATTTGGGGGACATAAATGAGATAAAAAAAGCTACGACGGGGCAGCTGAGAAACCTACAACCAGAGGACTTTCAAGGAGCCTTCTCACAGTGGAAACGGCGTTGGCACAAGTGCATTATGTCACAGGGGGAGTACTTTGAAGGGGATAAAATTGATTTACCTGAATAATTGTAAAATAAAATTTTTAAAAAACTTTTATACGTACTTTCCGGACAAACCTCGTATTCGAAAATAGATATTTGACTGATATGGGCGATATCGAAAGAAATGATGACCTTTTTCCAGTGTTTCTAATAAACACTTAACTAATCAAGTAGGTATATTTTGACATTATGATAATTTAAAACTAACATTCTTCTATACAATTAGTAAGTACTTACCTATTATCAGTTTACCAGAAGTTTGAAGCGGTACATTTTGATATTATAACAATTTAAAATTAATATTTGTCTAAAAATCAGTATCTATTGGTATGACAATACTTTGAAGCAGGTGTTTTAAACCTACACAAAGTTCTAATAAATGTTTGTCTGACTAATATACGAGTATAAGTAAATAAGCTAGTCATAAATGCCAGTCACAGTCACTGTAACATTCGATACTTAATAAATTTAAATTTGTAATTTATATGACACAGTACAGGTAGCAATCAGGTAGTACTTTGTCACATTGCGCCAGTCACGTAGGTTTATTATACACGTTGCTACTGAAGCGTGCTGAAACAATAAATCGCTGGGTGTGCAAGCGCACTACATGATTGATAAGGGGGTCATTGACCGGCCTATCGGTCATAAGCAGTGTGCTCGCAGTGAATGTTTCATATAAACCTTATGAAGTTTGTTTTTTAATTAGGTAGTTATATCACGGAATATTTACCTAAAGTAGGTACCACCTAAATTAGTACCGGAATGAGATGACTAGATTTTCCTGTTGCGTGATGATATCCATAAATAGCATAGATAATTAATTAAT